TAGCGTTAATACATTACATATAATAGGGACACAGACATAGCGTTAATACTTTATATATATTAGGGACATAGACATATCGTTAATACATTATATATAATAGGGACATAGACGTAGCGTTAATACATTATATATAATAGGGACATAGACGTAGCGTTAATACATTATATATAATAGGGACATAGACGTAGCGTTAATACATTATATATAATAGGGACATAGACGTAGCGTTAATACATTATATATAATAGGGACATAGACGTAGCGTTAATACATTATATATAATAGGGACATAGACGTAGCGTTAATACATTATATATAATAGGGACATAGACGTAGCGTTAATACATTATATATAATAGGGACATAGACGTAGCGTTAATACATTATATATAATAGGGACATAGACGTAGCGTTAATACATTATATATAATAGGGACATAGACGTAGCGTTAATACATTATATATAATAGGGACATAGACGTAGCGTTAATACATTATATATAATAGGGACATAGACGTAGCGTTAATACATTATATATAATAGGGACATAGACGTAGCGTTAATACATTATATATAATAGGGACATAGACGTAGCGTTAATACATTATATATAATAGGGACATAGACGTAGCGTTAATACATTATATATAATAGGGACATAGACGTAGCGTTAATACATTATATATAATAGGGACATAGACGTAGCGTTAATACATTATATATAATAGGGACATAGACGTAGCGTTAATACATTATATATAATAGGGACATAGACGTAGCGTTAATACATTATATATAATAGGGACATAGACGTAGCGTTAATACATTATATATAATAGGGACATAGACGTAGCGTTAATACATTATATATAATAGGGACATAGACGTAGCGTTAATACATTATATATAATAGGGACATAGACGTAGCGTTAATACATTATATATAATAGGGACATAGACGTAGCGTTAATACATTATATATAATAGGGACATAGACGTAGCGTTAATACATTATATATAATAGGGACATAGACGTAGCGTTAATACATTATATATAATAGGGACATAGACGTAGCGTTAATACATTATATATAATAGGGACATAGACGTAGCGTTAATACATTATATATAATAGGGACATAGACGTAGCGTTAATACATTATATATAATAGGGACATAGACGTAGCGTTAATACATTATATATAATAGGGACATAGACGTAGCGTTAATACATTATATATAATAGGGACATAGACGTAGCGTTAATACATTATATATAATAGGGACATAGACGTAGCGTTAATACATTATATATAATAGGGACATAGACGTAGCGTTAATACATTATATATAATAGGGACATAGACGTAGCGTTAATACATTATATATAATAGGGACATAGACGTAGCGTTAATACATTATATATAATAGGGACATAGACGTAGCGTTAATACATTATATATAATAGGGACATAGACGTAGCGTTAATACATTATATATAATAGGGACATAGACGTAGCGTTAATACATTATATATAATAGGGACATAGACGTAGCGTTAATACATTATATATAATAGGGACATAGACGTAGCGTTAATACATTATATATAATAGGGACATAGACGTAGCGTTAATACATTATATATAATAGGGACATAGACGTAGCGTTAATACATTATATATAATAGGGACATAGACGTAGCGTTAATACATTATATATAATAGGGACATAGACGTAGCGTTAATACATTATATATAATAGGGACATAGACGTAGCGTTAATACATTATATATAATAGGGACATAGACGTAGCGTTAATACATTATATATAATAGGGACATAGACGTAGCGTTAATACATTATATATAATAGGGACATAGACGTAGCGTTAATACATTATATATAATAGGGACATAGACGTAGCGTTAATACATTATATATAATAGGGACATAGACGTAGCGTTAATACATTATATATAATAGGGACATAGACGTAGCGTTAATACATTATATATAATAGGGATATAGACATAGCGTTAATACATTATATATAATAGGGACATAGACGCAGCGTTAATACATTACACAGTTTAAGTGAGTTGAGCACCACAAATATCTTTAGTAAATAAAATAGAATACTTCTCTTTTTTTAACAAGTGGACACAGTTACAAAATGAGAGATTTATACTCACCACACAGCCTCAAAATCGTATAAGTAGTAATACATACCTATAACGGGTAAAATGTTTAATTTTAGTTATATGACGAAACTGACCTCATATATGTCAAATAGAATCCGTAGTTCCCGTTATCCACCTTGAAGGCGCCAAAGTTGAGTCATTTCCTGTGAGGTAACGGGAAATCATGGCTTCCTGTTACATGTACCCGGATAATTAATTCGATAATTATATTTGTTGATAATCAAGAATCAGGAACATTTGCTTCACACTTAGATATCGATGTAGCACACATAATGCTGAACTGAACAGAAATGCAATATTGAAGAGTACTGCATACATTTACATCAGTTTGTCATACAATCAAATCTAGTCTCTCAGATCGATCTTTTCCCCTTAGATTTCCTGTTCTTCACTTTATCACGTACTTCCCATATCTTTACATTGGTATAATGATATTGTAAGATAATTATTATAATTTGGTAATTTTGGCCCAATTCCACTGTTATTTATAGATATTACATATACATTGTTTGTTATTAATATAAAATCATTATTTAGATAGACCTACCTTGTAGTACTTGAAGTATTACATTCGAAATATACCGTGTATATTGTTTAACGTTGTATTATATGGTATCTACCAGATAGTATGATAAGCTTTACCAGTAACACTAATGTTAGACATAGAGTAAGGCTACAAACAAAGGAAGTCACCTAGGGCACGAATGACATAAGCATTTACTTATAACCTAATAAAACTAATACTGTCTGTTTAGAGACGTGACATAATGCGCTGTGTTTATATACAGACATCCAAAGGTTAACAAACAGTATGTTATTGAAGTAGGACGAGGAATAGGGAAAAAGATAGTGCCGCGTCTGGCGCTCGAAAACCCGCGACCCTTCGCTCTCCGGCCCGATGCTCTACCCCTGAGCTTGTAAGGCAGCTTAATCAATGCACACCTTTTACACTATTCCCCCCTTTTAAATCACCAACCCAGGTTCTTTGACTCCCCGCTAAGGGTTCTCCTACCTTGAACGGGGAGGGTAAAAATCACCAGTTTGTAGTAGGACGAGGAATTGTGGTAAAGATAGTGCCATCCATGGGGCTTGAACCCGCGACCCTTGGCTCTCCGGCCCTATGCTCTACCGCTGAGCTAAAGGGAAATTCCCTACAGCTGACGCTTGTAAGGCAACCTAATTAATACAAATCTTTTACATTATTTCCATTGTCCGAGGGTTTATAATTCAGTAGAATTGGTAAAACATCTTCAAAAACCCTGGTTGCGTCTTTATGTCTGTTGTTGCCCATCCGGGAAGTGAAATAGAATGTAAAATATTTGTGACAAACAGCCATTTGTCTGTATGACCAAAGGATACGTTATCACTTACACGACCCATCTGTATATATACTGGTCAGATTCTACAACTTGTTACTGACTGGTATCACTTACCTTGAGATAACATGTGAGAAATTATTCTCCGACACCCGTAACCAGTCTGTTCAATATTCTAACTATATTTAGAGCTTGATCATTCCTACTTCCTGGTACATTACTGAGCCAATCATAAGTACACAACATTTATCGTAGACTCCCTGTGTGTTGAGCTAAATTTGATTAACGAGTTTATGTGTTAGCACGGGTAGCGCAGTTTACACATTCTTTACGGGAATGATAGCCTACCACTGGGGTAGGCTTACCACTGGGGTAGGCTATCATTCATCTGACAGATGGTCAGTACCATTTAGAAGTAGAAGTAGAAGGGAATGATAGCCTACCGCTAGGGTAGAACAGAGAAATCCCAACCATAGGGTTAATACTCGTTATTGTCTAACCCAAGGCTTGCTTTAAGAATGCATTCATATATTTAATCTGGCATACCCTTACCGTAAGTGATGATTCTTGATCTTTCATCTTAACAAATATATCTTCAAAGGCAATGATAATTTAATGCTTTCCCGCTGTCGTCATCCTATTATTTCTTACTACGTACTATTTCTTACAGCCTATGGGGTGACGAAGATATTATACTCCAGTGAGTGACAGAACGATACTGAACAGATAATAGAGAGACATAAGGTAAGACGGCAGTTTGCTTGGTACAAAAGAGGACTGTTCAACATGCAATGCATGTGACAGAACGATACTGAACAGATATTAGAGAGACATAAGGAAAGACGGCAGTTTGCCACTAACTCAGGATAGACTGCTTCCTGTATAGACGTGGCCGCTAACTCAGGATAGACTGCTTCCTGTATAGACGTGGCC